TTAAAAAAATAATTAGATATAGGTAATACTTTTCATTAAATGGAAACAATGCTTTTTAATAATAATTGTACTTTTACTTCTTTTTTCCGGTTTGCATTTCCTGCCTATCTAAAAAAAATTATTTAGATATAAGAATACTTTTCGTTAAATAGAACCAATGTTTTTTTAATAATAAATGTAATTTTAGTTTGTTTTTTGTTTGCCTTTCCTACCTATCTCAAAAAAATAATTTAAAATTAACACTATTTATTATACACACTCAGTCTCAAAGTTTAATTGTAATTATTTTTGTCCTATATGCTGCTGTCTCTAAATTATTAAAAACATTCTTAATAATATTTTGTAAATACATTGTTATTTTACGTAGACCTGTGTTTTTTAATTTTTTTCCCCAATTTACTATTTCATTTGTAATCTACAAAAAAGAATAGAAACTATAGTTATAAGCCAAACTATATTAAGTTCATTATTTTTTGTAATAATTTTAACCTTTGTCTTCACAGAAAATATTTTGGTATTACTTATTTAACTAAAGTGCAAAATTTTACACTCTTTAGTCTTTTTACACATGATTTTTTGCGTAAGATTTCTTTAAAAAAAATACTTAAATTATTCTTTTATTTGAATTTCGATGCAACATGGCGGGTGGGCGGAGCTTAGACGCTATTGTCGCCACTGTCTTGTTAAAGTCACTGTAACTTGAAATAAATTGCAGCGCCATCTTTTATTCGGTAGCAAAAATATTATAGTTATGAGAATCGATAATATATTGTATTAATGCTTTCTGTAGACTACGTACTTCACATAATTCATGTTTTAAAGCGCAGAAGTTTGTTTCTTGACTGTTGAGAAATATTGAAATAAAAGGTAAGAAAATGCACTTTTTAAACTGTCGATTACTTTCTGTGGGGTAGAAAAAGTGGGTGATACCCTACGCTATTGATATTTTTTTGTAGTTTAGATATTTATTTGTGATAATGCTCATAACCTTACTTTTGAAATAAAATAAAAATTAAAGCAGTGTCGTGCGACTTTATTTTTTATTGTCATTTCAGGGGTGAATTGAAACATGCCCAGAAAATATGAGAGAACACCTGGAAGCCGAAGATATGCCGATTTTAGCGAAGAGACATTAAAAAAGGCTATGGATTGCTATAAAAAAAACAAGGAACCCTAAGAAGTATTGGTGAACAATATGGAATACCATATGCTACGCTATATAGAAAATGTAAAAATTTACATTCAAAAAAATATGGCGGACAGACTGCATTGTCGAAAAATCAAGAAATGGTTATTCTTCGTGAAATTATTTGTGCTTCTGACTGGGGATTCCCGTATGAAGAACCCGATGTTAAGGATTTGATGCAAATTTTTTTAAATCGGTCTGGAATCAATATTAAACAATTTATAGATAACAGACCAGGTCACGAGTGGTATATGAGTTTCATTGAGCGACACGGAAATGAGATATCCACTAGGTTCTCACAGTCAATTAAACAAAGCAGAGCTAAAATCAACTATGCCATAATAAATCAATATTTTGACCATTTATCAGTATCCTTAGTAGACGTTGATCCAGCAGCAATGGTTAACTACGACGAAACTTAATTTTACCGATGAACCAGGAAGGGTCAAAGTTATTGTTCGCAGAAAGTCCAAAAGGGCCGAAAAAATTCAAGACACCTCAAAATCCGCAACATCTGTTATGTTTTCATGTTCTGCCTCAGGAGTAATGTTGCCTGTCTACGTTGTTTATAAAGCAGACCATCTATGGACCACATGGACTGAGAGGGGTCCAGAAAAAGCTCGATACAACAGGAGTTCATCAGGCTGGTTCGATATGCACTTATTTGAAGACTGGTTCGTAACTACCGCTCTTCCATATTTCAAGACATTGCCACAAGGACCCAAAGTAATTATTGGAGACAATTTAGCTTCACACCTATCACTAAACGTCATACAACTATGCCAATCGAATAACATCAGATTTATTTTACTGCCACCCAATAGCACACACGAAACTCAACCGTTAGATGTGTGCGTGTTTAGGCCCATAAAACAACAGTGGCGAAAAGCTCTTCAAGCATGGAAGAGGCATAACAAGGGTGTTGTAAGAAAAGACGTATTTCCTAGGCTGTTGAATCAAGCTCTACAGAATACGGAAGCCAATGAGAAAAATATAAAAGGTGGCTTCATGGCTACTGGCCTAGTTCCTTTGGATAGAGAGAAGATTCTTAAAAGGCTTCCGAAAGAAAATGAAAATATAGAACAACAAGCTGTTGAAGACAACATTGTAATATCGATGTCCGAGATATTTCAAAATGCACGTTACGGAAATCCTCAGGAACCATCTACTTCGGGAAAAAAGAAAAAATTGACAGTTGCACCAGGTGAAAGTATTTCCTACGACCAACTAAAGGAAAAAGAAAAGGAGAATGTTCCGAAACCAAAGGTTAAGAAAAGAAAGACAGTTGGAAAGGAAAGGGCCAAGCAAGATACACAAAAGAAAAACGATTATACGCTCCCGGAAGAAGAACAAGATACAGAAGAAATTTCTGGTGGCGAACAAAGTGTTCTCTCAGAAATTATTAACAATAATGAAAACGAAAATGGCGAGGAAAATTTTGGAACAAGAACAATTCCTCTAGTTGGAGAATATGTGGCTGTAACATTAAAGACAACCAAGGGCACCGATAAAAATTATGTGGCCAAAATTTTATCGGAAGAATCTGGTTCCTGTTTGCAAATTTCTTAGACATTCTCAAAAAAGTCACGATATATGGGCGATTCTTGCATAACTGTGATTTTTTATATCCAGTATTTTATTTGTCGTTTAGCATAAGTTTTCCTCATCAAAAAGTTATTAATATTGTAAATTTAGAGGTATTTTACAACTAACATTATGAATTAGATCATAAACCTTCGCAAATTTTGTTTAAGCTGCACCTAAATATACTCGAAATGTCAGTACCGTGGGCATGTTTGATTCTTATTTTTAAAATTTAATATACAATGAGTACCATAAGTCTTACTAACTCGTTACTGGAGTCTTTTTAGGAAAATCGCCGAGACACGTCGATTTTTAATTTCTACAATGTACATTTTTGTATGAATAGTTTACCCTTAATTTCATCCCTTACTGGAGGGGAGCAACCCTTTCGAAAACTTTAAATGGCATGAGGTGGTGAGTGATAGCTCATTTGAAAGAGGGTTTTATTATATATTCAACCGTGTAAAAAAATTTGAAATTTGCTTCATTAATTCTCGACCAATTGTTGTTTCAGAATAACAGAAATTAACGTAGCGCACTCATCCTTAGAATTAAAATTCGGCCCTGCATGATTTCGGTTTTGGTTCAGACGTGAAGTAAGACTTTTTGCCATTAGAAGGTCACTGTTAGTCTAGTTGCTTTCCTATTTTGTGAGGTTTTGTTATTTTTAAACATTAATAAATCAACACGTAATGAAGCAAATTTCAAAATTTTTTGCACGGTTGAATAGAGAATAAAACCCCCTTTCAAATGAGTTATCACTCACCACCCCATGCCATTTAAATTTTTCGAAAGGGTTGCTACCCTCCAGTAAGGGATGAAATTAAGAGTAAACTAATCATGCAAAAATGTACATTGTAGAAATCAAAAATCGACCTGTCTCGGCGATTTTCCTAACAAGACCCCAGTAACGAGTTAGTTAGGGGGGGTAAGACTTATGAAGCTCACTGTATAAATTTCTTTCAAAATTAATTTTTTAATATAAAATGTACCTCTTATAACTACAATCTAATGCATACTGCATTGAATTTTATTGCAATTTTATACCAATCTTTCGATTAGTAAAAAAAAACAATCATTTATATGTCAGTACCGTGGAAATAATGTCAGTACCGTGGCATTAAACTTTTGAAATTTTGTCACAGTTTTCGTTGTGTTGTAGCTGTAGTAAAACCAGTTCACAAGCTTAGTTTTGTGAATAAATAAAAAATAAAAACGCGCAGAACAAACGTTTTAAAACATTTTTAATGTTAGAAAAATTTAAATTGTAAAAATCGCAGTTACACGAGAATCACCCATATTCATTTTTCCGGCAATTGTAGATATCGGAATTGTCGTACAAGAGGAAATTAAAGAAGTGTTAAAATCTGTAGAGACACTCAGAAGAGGAAGTTTACGCATTAGGGGTCTATCTTTTAAGCCATAAAACTTTTATTATTATAAGAAAATAAGTTTAGTTTTTGGTTCTGTATTTTGGTTTCTGTATTTTGTAAGTCATAAAACTTTTATTATTAGAAGAAAACAAGTTTAGTTTTTTTTGTTATGTTCTGTTAATTGAATAAAGATTTTTAAGTTGTGCAACTTTCTTTAAAAAATATTGTGGATGTTGGTAGCAATTTGGAAGTGTTTAAACTATTTATTTTATTGTTTCGAGTCATCCCAAGTCTAGCAGAATTGAAACTATAATCGAAATATATGAATGTTTCAAGTTACCCCAACTTTGGGATGACTTGAAACAACGCTTATTTATTTTTTTTATAATTTGTGGTGGGGGTAACCCTTCTAGCAATGTCTCGAATTTGTTCTTTATGATCCAAAGTTTAGCTGACAATTTTTTTTATTTCCTAATTTCTTAAAATCCTTAAATTACAGCTCTAAATAATCAAAATTTTTCAAGTCACCCCATTTTACGGTACCCAGTTGAGTGTTGTAAATAGATTTACTTACTAAAATTTACTTTCTAATAAAATATGTCCAAGTTAAATAACTTTGAAACAAAATGTTTTTGATAAAATCTTCGACTGTTATATTACGGAAACAAAACACAAAGTTCTTTTTATATAGTTAAATAATTTTTGCAAATAAGTTTCAGGCGAGAACATGTTTTTAATTTTTTACAAATTATGCAAATTTAGACACATAATTTCTAAAGAAACAACAAAATGTTCTCAATGAATTCTCGCCTCTTGATTGTTGGTGAAATAGTTTGTTAATAAATACATTTTTACAGGTTACGATTTACCATGGGAAGATAAATCCTTCACCTACCCATCGAATTTCGCTCCGCCCCTTGAAATTCTCGTAGAAGCCAGTAACGGTGCTTCGGACTACGGTAACAAATTCGGCGAACCGCTTTTGTGCGGTTTCGTCCGAACATTCGGTTTAAACGATGCCTCGGGCGAGAGAAAAGAATGGATCAAACCGATCATGTTCAGCGGAGGAATTGGTAGCATGGAAGCGGACATGACAGAAAAATTGAAACCCGAACCTGGACATCAAATAATTAAAATTGGGGGACCGGTATACAGGATAGGAGTCGGAGGAGGTTCTGCTAGTTCTGTAGAAGTACAGGGAGACAATAAGGAGGAATTGGATTTCAATGCCGTTCAAAGAGGTAAATATAAATATTTTAATATAAGTTTTCAAGCAATTTAAATGTTTATACTTATGCACTTGTGAGATTTTAGTTTCCTAAAAGACAAATGTAATGCATGTAATTAAATAGTTGAAGAATATTGAGAAAGAGCTTAATAACATCATATACATACAGAATGGGGCGAAAATGTTTTTTTTTTTTATTTTTCAAAATAAATAGTTTTCGAAGGTTTACAAAAAATTTATGGTTTCCCCACCCAAAATATTGTTATTATTGGCATTTCCTGAAAATTTCACAAAAATCAGACTAAAAATAAAGACTCGGAAAGAATTATAAATTTTTGAAGGTGTTCGGTTAGCCCTTATTTTAGGAGTTGATACGAAATGTCGACATGGCGGCGTGACGTGGCTTCTTAACGAAAGCCGTTTTAGGATGTTACGGGTTTATTGCATAATAAGATTTGATTTATTAAAATAACGATTTGTAGTAAAAGACGAGATTTTTAAGAGAACAAATGTACTTACGACTATAAAGATGTGATGAATAATCCAAATTAATTTTCTTAGCAGTTCATTTAAAACATAAATAAAATAATTTAATCATCAGACGTCATTTAATAATAATAAAAACATTCTAAGTATGGTTATGTTTACATAAATAGTTTTAATGTATAGGGCACAGATCACTTGAATATTCTTCTTTTACCATTTACCAGTACTGCCTTTAATGCTGCTAAGCCCTTCATTTAAGTGGCTGCTTAACTGCTAGGATATGGGTCTTTATTTCTTCCATAATTTCTCTAGAGTGTTTATCTCTCTCTCTCTCTCTCTCTCTCTCTCGTTTTCTCTCTCTTGTTCCCGCTTCTTTTCCTGGCTAACCTAGAGACGTGCACGTGGTGCAACTCCGAATTTTCCGGATTTGATTAGTCTGAAAAGAATAAATTATTATTAGGATTAGTTACTTATATATCTAAGAAGATATATACACACTTTTGTGGATTATATTTTCCTAAATAATTTTAAAATAAACTTATGAGGCCCAACTCCAACAGTGGCCTTTTTAGAATACCTCCCTCAGCTTTTGCTTACCTAGCAATCTAAGCTATATCTCCCGCTGCTTCGAGCTAAGTAGATAGCTAAAGAGTAGCTATTAGAATACAACTACCCCTACTCGCTTCCTGGTCCCGGTTAAATAACATATATGCATTCCATAGGCTGCTAAAGTACCTGAAATCACGGAATCAGTGCCTATCAGATTAAGATGGTAAAGTTACTTACCAGTTCAATTTAGAACCATCTAGAAAACCTGAAGTGTTCCTCTTCATAACAAGCAAGATTAGTTTAGTTTTTCAAGCATCCTGTCGGTGGTACCCATTAAACCAATTAAAGGAATCAACTGGAGAAGTAAAAACATACTGTAAACAAATTATAATTTATTATTTGAGTAATATTTATATGCAGTATTCATTACTGTAAACCACAGTTAGTACTAACCTTGGGTAATCGATTGAATACTAATTGAATTTTATACCGTTTGATAATCTTGATATTGTCCAACATAACTACAGATACTTTGTCTAATTAAAATATATTCCTGAAAGAACTCTTCTCAGTACGAATTTGTTTATTTGATTCTAACCTATCAATTAGCCGGGTAATTTAGGAAATAGTAAAGAACCTACACTGTTAACCCTCCCTGTCTTTAACCAAGGGGCCAAATGAGAAAAAAAGGGGTAACAAGGAAGCTGTGCCTGCAGTGATGCGAGAAAAAATTCTGTTTAACACGAAGATGCGAGATGGCTTGATAGCGTCGGTTCACGTGAGATTATTGGTTTTTCAAAGCCTGCTTTAATGCAGTGAGGAAGGGTGACATAATCATCTTGTTGATTTTAGAACAACTAAGAAAAAACCAGAGATGGCGCTAGGTAAAATGTTGAAATCTTTCAACAGTCTCACTATCCGTTTTTTAAAATTATATCGGGCTTAGCTTCAGAAATCAACTTTTTTAATATTTTAAAATGTTTATAACCGCAAATTTTTTATTGTTTTGTATTCTAGGCGACGCTGAAATGGAAAATAAACTCAACAGAGTGGTACGCGCCTGCTTAGAACTCGGTCCCAAGAACCCTATCGTTAGCATCCATGATCAAGGAGCCGGAGGCAACGGCAACGTTTTAAAAGAATTAGTTGAACCAGTCGGAGGAGTAATCTACGCCGACCGATTCGAACTCGGCGATCCGACCATCAACGTTTTGGAATTATGGGGCGCAGAGTATCAAGAAAATAACGCTCTTTTGTGTAAAAAGAAAGACGTGGATCTATTAAAAAGTATTTGCAAGCGAGAAAGGTGTCCCGTCAATTTTGTGGGAGAAGTTACCGGTACTGGAAAAGTCGTTTTGGCTTTGGATGAAAGTATGAAAGTTACTCCGTTTAATTTGGAACTGGATCATGTATTGGGTAAGTTTTTTAATAAATATGTTTTTGAAGGAAAGTGAAGTGAGCAAATCGGTTTAGATCTGAAAACTTAATGTAGATTTTATAATTCTGAAAATAAAAAATCTCCAATTCCCCCTAGGAAATTATAAAAATTACACCCTCATATCCACAAACTGGGAACAAACCAAAGAAAAATTGAAAGAGCTAAGAATTAAAAAAAGAAAAAATGGGTGCAAGACCGGGACTCGAACCCGCGCCCTATCCAATTGGGCCATCTCAGTACATATGCTTTGATGTCCGAATTCGTAAACTTGAAGTAAACCAGATTCAGACTCCCGTTGGTACACACAAATTCTCATCCATTCTCAGCTCTCTGAATTTTTCTTAAAGCCATCTTTTTTGACATCATGTAGAGAGGCAGTAATTTATAATTACGTTAGAACTAAATATTTAAGATACTTCATTTGTTCAACAGTCTAAAGTTTTCGAGTACGGTACGCCGTGAACGTGAAATGTTAATGGCGTACTGTTTCTAATTTTTTTTCCATCAATTTTCTTGTTGTCCATATCTAAACACAAACATTTAAATTATGTTGACTAATGATACTTAAGAACTCAAGTTTAAATATTATTTTATTTATAGGTAAAATGCCTCAAAAGGTATTCAAACTGGAACGAAAATCCACACTCTACAAACCAATTGAGTTACCGAAAGCTCTATCGATCTATCAATCTCTGGAAAGGGTATTGAGGTTGCCCTCAGTTGGTAGCAAAAGGTACCTTACCAATAAAGTGGATCGTTGTGTTACAGGCTTGGTTGCTCAACAGCAATGCGTTGGACCGTTACATACTCCATTAGCTGATGTAGCTGTCACTGCTATCTCTCATTTTGGATATGTAAGTATTTTAAAACGTACTTTTCGAATATTTAGAAAATGTGAAACGAACTCTTGACTTTTGTAAATAATTTATTTTTAGGTAATGACAATTCTAAAATTAAATATGACAAATGTAATAAACACAATTATTAGATTATTACTGCCTTTTTAACATGCTGTCTCAGTGATGCCCTCTATAATTTTTAAAATATGGTTTCCTGGTAATAACTTATTGTATAATACTTTTGGAAATTTCTTAAAAAAATCTCAAAATTTTACTCTAAAAAATATATAAAATTATTTATGAACCACCAAAAAAACACATTTATTAAAAAATTAAAAAAGTGGGGGTTAATAAATCATTTTGAGATTTGTATTTAGGGATTTCTAAAAGATTTATTTGTTTTTCGATCAGTAATTGATATAATTTTGTAAACTTTTAAAAATTAAAAGTAAATTAACTAAAATAAATTGCCTAACTTGAGCCATTTAAATTTTTCTAAACCATATTTGACACAGATGATGTAAACCACAAAGCAATAGAATAAAACAATAATATACACAATGTTTTTTTTTTGCATTTGTTTATACCAATGGAGATATATGCGCTACATCTGTCTTTATAAGCTCTGTGATGTAGAACTCATTCGTGCAAATGGGTTTTCGATAAAAAAAATCGGATATCACTTTTTAATATGCACCGAGTCTCCAAAAGAAAGGACGCCCGCTCTAATTAAATATTTTAGAAAATATAATTAAGGTTTATATGGACCCACCTCCTCACTCGTTTCTGACTCTAGAGATGGCTCTACCTGTCGAATCAAATTTAGTATACAATTTATTAAAGTTACAGGGTTCTGTCTGTGATAGAATAATATTTCGTTAGTTTATATCGCCGCCAAAAGAGACTGCTAGCACAATAATAGATTACGCGGGAGATCTTTATGATTCGATGCGAAGAACGTTGCCAAACTTCAATATAATTATGTTTTATTTATTTATATTGAGGTGAGGTGTTGAGCGCGGACGGCCCAAGCGATCCAGCTAAGAGATGGATATGACCTGGCGAGCTTTTGTTAAGTCTTCCACTGGTCCGCTCAATCATTCTCAACTATGAAGTTTACTGAAATAAAATTATTTAGGGTGAGCGCATTATCCTTAAAATATGGTATAAAATTAGAACAATAATGTGGTTTGGCGAATGGACTTAGTTCGCGCAGTCAAAAAATTTAAATAAAAAAACTGACGAGGATACGTTCGCGCGCTATGGTTGTGTACTATTTAATAATAAAATGAATATTAAATAATTTAAATGAAAACTATCCATAATTTTAAAGGTGAGAAGAGAAAGAAAAAAAATAGACAGAAAGGGAAAGAAAGAAAGAACGTAAACAAAAGCTCAAGAAATGCAACTTCCAAACGATTTAATGTACACCTCAGGTATACATTTTTGAAATCGAATAGTATAAAAGAATAGAAAAATGTGATAGTATACAGAGTAACTAATATCTACCTTAAAGGTAAAAAAGTTACTCAAAATCAATCCTACGTAAATTAATTTTAGGAAGTTAAATGACAACCGGTTTCGGGATTAGGCCATCATCAGGTCTAAAAATACAGTAATAAGCGCTTACAATATAAGATGACGTCTCCATAAAATATTTAAAAAAATACACGTGTATGATTAAAAAGGCAGTTGTAAGAGAAACGATATGTGGGAAATATGATAGAAATTGTACAAGTTGAAAAAGGTTTGCGTAAAGAAACTTATAGGCTAACACTATTCATCGCCATATTCTCACATTTATCAACATGTCCCAGTGCAGTGGCGACAGAAGGGGGCACAATAGATCTTTTAGGTCGCAGTGCTTTAACACCCCATTCTCAACATAACATAACATGTCCCACATATGATATTTCTTACCACTATCTTACCCTTGTTGGGGCTCGGTTTTAATCATGCACGTGTATTTTTTTAACCTTTTTATGGGGACGTCCTAGTAGTGTTTTGTAAGCGCTTATCACTTAATTTTTAGACTTGTTGATGTCCTAAGGCCAAAACATTTAACTTAATAAAATTAATTTATATGGGATTGATTTTGAGTTATTGTCTTACTAATATACAGGGTGGCTCACGCTCAACGGGACGGAGCTTTATGGGAAAACGACCAAAGATATAAAAAATTCGTTTGGGAGCAATACGTAGGTTACAGACGGCTACAATTTAAAATTTGTTAGATGTATACAGGATGTCCCACAAGAGAAAATATACAAAGTTATATTATTTTTAATGGAACACCCTGTTTTTCATTTTAGAATTAAAAACTACATCAAAAATAATGTCAGTTGACTAAAGGTTCCCTATTACTATTATTATTAGTTTTCGATTTATTTGAATTTTTAAGGAAAAAAGTCTCCCAGAAATTAATTGTTTACTCTTGTTTGAATAATTTTTAATGAACTAATTTTTTTTTCTTATGTGGGACATCATGTATACATCTAACAAATTTTAAATTGTAGCCGTCTGTATAGGTGTATAGGGTGTTTCATTAAAAAAAAAACAAGAATAGTGGTCATAACCGCGGAGGAGACCGTAAAAGTTACAACGAGCATACCACGAGCAGAATTGTCCCTTTATATGATTTTTTTATTATTTTTTCATGAAAGCCTCACTTTTAAAATTATTTAGAGTGGATAATTTTCATTGAAAATTCCTGTGTAGGGCAAAGTGCTAATACAATGACGTTGTATCCATTTTCCATCTCTGATAGATGAATCGTCATTTCATTGGTGATATAAGATCACTGAAAAGTCATAAATGTTGCATAACAAAAAACTGGTTATTTAGCATTTGTCAGAGAATTCAGTATAGGATTAAATTTAAAATTATTCTTTAAATGTTCCAATTGTGGATTTGTGAAATCAATAACCACAAATAAAGAAACTTCAAAGATAAATCTTCTGGCTACTACATCTATTAGCAAAGGACATAACACTTTGCAAGAAAATTTGGTAAAATTGGGTATTTCTTCTTTTGATATTCTCACGTTTTGCATGTTTCTTAATAAAATATGTCACAATTAATGAATTTAGGGGTGACCATTCAATAATTATATCACTAGAGCCTTAATGATATTGCCTTGAACTTGGCTTCGTAGCCCTTAACTGTATCAGGGTCCTACTCTCGACATTAGGACCTAACACGTCTCTGTAAAAGGGCTGAAGAAAACACGTTTTCTTAAAACAAATAGTATTTCTATTAGAAAATATGATATTTAATATTCGGCAATTTATGAGTTTTAAGATATAAGCCGAATAAGACGTTGTTCTAGGCAACAGTCGTACAAACTACAACCACAGTAATTGACTGTTTTGACTAGACTGCTTTACCCGGAAATATTAATTGTAAATCATGCCTCTTCCATTACCTTAAGGGCTAACAATTTCTGTGCAACAAAACAATTCTACAAAATACTTCACAGCTAAACATACACAAATATGGACCAACACTATCTTTAAAACAATTTAGCTTACCAACTGCAATATCTGCGACGCATGTAACAACAATTTATTAAAACCGCGATTTAAAATACAAAAGGACTTTTAATTTTCTACGATGGAGATCCAGAGCCTTCGATCGAAGTCTCAGTGATCAGGAACCGCTACTGGGAATATCCTACAAGGATGTCCTCTTATGAACCCGATGAAGAGGATCCTCTATTGTGGAAAACGCCCTGTGTGTCTCTTTGAGGTTACCTTTATAACTTCTGCATAGTTTATTGTTATTAAACTAATATTTAATAATAATTAAATAATCAATTTTGTACATGATTGCAACTTAAAACCAATTCGCGACGTAATTAAACAAACTTTTACGTACAGGGTGTTATTTAAATAATTAATTAAAATTTGGAAAAATGTGAATTTATACGAAGCGTGACAATAATATTAAAGTTATAACAAATCGAAGAGCCGGAAAAGGCAGGTACGAATCATACCTACAACAACGGTTCTAAAACAAAACAAGGCTTAGGATGTGGAATATACTTCACATCTTTAAATCTAAACATAAAATGGGCTGTGAGAAACAATATCACTGGAAGGAACATGCCATCTATACAAATAGTAGACATGCTGTACTCCCCCTGGACAGACCACGAATTTACTCGGGGTTGGTACTAGAATTTCATGAAGCTTTGGCCGAAGTATTCATTAATAATGTGTTGAACTTAAGATAGATCAAAAGTCACGTCACATTGAAAGGTAATTGTCTTGCTGATTCACTAGCCAAGCAGGCAGCCAACCAAATACTTTTTGGACCTGACAAAATCGGTAGTGACATTCCCTTGTGAAGTTCAAGGAAATATTGAATGAAACAAGAAGTTGCAGGGAGCTTTCATGTTATCCTGACAACACTACAGCAAACAAATACTTGACTATCACTAGATGCCTGATCACAGGCATTCTGACGGGTCACTGCCAAGTAGGGAAGCATCTCCATGTCATGGGGCTGGCAGAATCCGCACTCTGCACAGGGTTCAAACAAAAAGATGATATCATCGAGCATATTGTCTACAAGTGCTTGATGCTCACATTTATTAAATTATTTGTATTCGTTGATAATTGGCTAACACAAGCCGATATAAGAAAGGCACCTCTCGGTAATATTGTCAACTACATTAAATCTGTAGGCTGGCTCACGAGCTAGGAGGTGCCGATCTATTTAGGAAGTTGCAAAATGGGTTTAGTAAGGCCTAAGTGCCGTGGGTTAACCCACCCTCCACACGTTACAGATATAGATGTTAAACTTAACGAAACTGTTGCAATTGAAACGTATGCTTCTATTACAAAGAATACAGTTGTTGAATGTGGTTTATTCATCTTTTAAGAAAAATGTTATCGTTTCTTATGAACTTCACCAGATGGATTGGTAGATGATGCTAAATTTTTTTAGGTAAAGTGTTTTTACTCAGTTCGAGAATTTTCACTATTAAATGCACCAAAACATGTTAAATACTTTTGTTCTACTACTGCTGATGGCAAAAAATTGTTCCTTAGGCAAACCATAACTATTTTTACTAAATGTTTAGCAATGATTTATTTTTTGTAGGATCAATAAGAATTTTTAAAGGTATATTTAATAAATGTATTTATAATAGAAATAGTTTTTTTTAGGTAAAAAAAATATGAAATACCTACTTAGGTACTATTATGGTTTTTAAGCCAATCAGATTTTTACGAATTTATATTTTTTAACAGAAAAAATGTCATTACTAAATACCTGTTGTTTTAATTTCAAAATTCGTTTTTTTTTTACTTGCCAACCTTCTTAAATATTGTCCTGCGATCCAATTTCTACCAAAAACTAATCAACATGCAATTAACATGATACTGATATTTGGTAAACATCTGTTCACCTTTTTTAATTGATAAAACACATGCATCATTCAGAATGCACCTTTCATTTAATAATTAAATAATTCAAATATTCTGTAAAATGAATAGGTACGTTTGCATCGACCGAATTATTAATAGAAAAATATTTATTTAATCCAGCGAACTTAGTAATACAACTCGATCTGGCAACACGGTAGCGTTGGTGTATGCGGACATTCGAAATTTCTGTTTGAGTAGGAAATTTAGTGCTCTCTGTGAGCAATTTTAGAAAGTACTAATTGAGATGGCAGCACCTCTCAGAGATAAGACTTTGAAAGAGGAAATTCAAAATAGTGCTATTGTTTAATTGAATTTTTCACTAAATTTATAAAAAACTTATTAATGTTTCGAGGTCACTGTCTTTAAATATAATTATTGAAGGTATATGCTTTAATATTACATTCATTTTTATAGTTTAAATCTAATTTTTGTTAATAAAGTATATATATTCTTCAATTACGTCATTTCTGCAAGTTCAAAAATTTTCAAAAAATTTATGTAAGTTTCTTAACCAAAACTAATTTATTTTATGAAATAATGATCTCTCTTGATATTCTAGTTTCTTTGTTTTATACTTGTAAAAAAGTAAATTTTCCGATTTTTCTTGAGAACAAATGATACAAACCGGATCAAATTTTGGTAAAATAATATTTAAAGTTGTATATATATTCACAAATTTTTTCAAAAATTTTGAACGTGTAAATACTTTTTCCGGGGGTCCATATAAACCTTAAAAAAGAAATACAAAAGTGGTCAAGAGGAATCCCTAGAATTTATTTTCAAATTTCTCACTGGATGGCTTAATGCCTATGAGCTCTATGACCAGTGATAAATAAGAGGGTAGTAAAAAACAAATTTTATTATCGGCTATAAGCATTACGCCCCCTAGCGGCAAAGCTAGAAACCTAAACATAATTTTACCAACGATTTCTAGAAAACATTTTTTGTTAAAAAAAAAAAATCAAATCTGTAGGATAGATAAATAGTTTTTTAGTTATGGCCGGTGTCCTTCCCTATTTGGACAGTTGGACACCCGACACATGTATTTCAAAAATAATAATATATAATAATAATAATAAGTTTATTTCGAAAACCATGAATACAAAGTATATAATTATTTTACAATTTAGTAGAAATAAACAAGAAAGGGAACATTTTGTAATGCCTAACTACTATGATTTTCATAATAAAAGTAACTTTGCGAGCTTAGGAAAATCCTGTCTGCTGCTGCCGTTACTTATTAAGGCTATTTTGTTTTAAGAGTATAAATGTATAATTAGCGGTATACTGTAATACATCTTATTATAATTTATATAATAAAACGAAAAAAAGAAAAAAAATTAAAATAAAACAAAATACATAGGTATCAGATTTTGAAAATAAATTTAGTTGCAAACCCAGGTAAAATTGTCGAAAATGTTTTTTTTTTGCTTCTTTTTTTTATTTTTATCTATATATATTTTTTTATTATAAATCTTTATAATTTATTATATAAATCAGGAAAAAATACATATATCATATTTTGTAAAAACAAATAATTATTAGCTACAGACCCTGATAGAATAACAAACTTTTGTTTATTATTTTTTTTTTTTATTTATTTATTTATTTATTTATTTTTTTGTTTTTATTTATCTTTTATTCTTATTTTTTTTTTTTTTTTTTTTGAAATATTTATTTGAAGCAGTTACAATATATTGGGGGAGTTAATAATTAACCACGTGGTTAGCAGTTTTTTGAAATTAGTTTGACTTCTTTTTTCTTTTAACTCTTTGGGAATAGTGTTAAATAATTTTTGGCCAACTTGTCTATAACAATGATCGCCAATTTTTTTATACACTCTGGATATTTTTATACATGCTTGCGTTACGTGTCGTGTTTCATATATGTGTTCAACAGATGTATTAATTAACTTATACTTAATTAAGTGTAAAAGTGAACTTTTATAAAATAATTTTCTAATTGTTAAAATGTTGTTTTCAATAAATAAGTTGTGCGTTCTGTAACGTATATTTAATTTAAACATAATTTTTAGAATTCTCTTCTGGGCAACTTCTAATTTTTGCAATGTACTATTATATACTCCGCCCCATCCTATAATGCCATAAGATAATATAGATTCCACTAATACATTTTTCTGAGTATATGTAAATCAACAATTTTTGCCATTTGTCTGAACATAAACATTAAAGACCGTAACTTTTTTGTTAGGTTATCAATTTGAAAATCCCATTTTAAATTTGAATCTATAATTATGCCCAGATATTTGACTTTGTTACATGTTTGTATTTCCCACGTTTCATTTCGGTGCTGAATTTCAATACAAATTTTGTTTTCTGTTGGTAATCCTGACTTATAGTTTGAAAAAGGTAAAAATGTGGTTTTTTCCGGATTTATGGTTAATAAATTATTGTCGAACCAATGTGTTAGAGTTTGTAAATTAGTTTGAATACTTTTAAATACTTCAACCCAAGTTTCTTCTTCTACGAATAATACTGTATCATCCGCAAAAGATATTACGCTGCCTTTATAATTTAAATCAAATAGACTATTTATGTAGCAAATAAAAAGAATAGGACCGATCACAGTACCTTGAGGGATTCCATACGTAACTGTTTTTTCATTACTAATTGTATTATTAATTTGTACCCTTTGTTTTCTATCTTCTAAATAACTTGCCAATAAGGATAGTGATGGACCTCGGATGCCAACATTTTCGAGTCTTGACAAAAGCTTCTGATGACTTACAGTATCAAATGCTTTTGCCAAGTCGATAAAAACCCCGGCGCAAGGTTTGCTTTTATCTAGCCAGTTGTATATTTTATTTATCAAACACGAAATTGCGTCATTAGTGGATTTTCCACTTTGAAATCCAAATTGCATGTTTGAAATAATTTTATGTTTTACAAAAAACTCAACAAAACGTATTTTAAGTATTTTTTGCATATGTTAGAAATTAGGCTAATAGGCCTATAATTTTCAGGTGATTTCGGGTTACCTTTTTTATAAATTGGCTTAACTATGGTAATTTTAAAATGTTTAGGACATTCTCCTTTTATAAATATTAAATTGATCAAATGGACCATTGGTTTTGCAATTTCTTCAGAAATTTCTTGAAGTACTTTAATTGTGATTTTATCAAGTCCAGGTGATGAGTTTGTTTTTAATGATTTAATGATGTCTTTAATTTCGTTTTCGTTTGTAGGTTTTAAAAATATTGAGTCTCTGTTAGTCCAACCAGTTTTATTATTAGTTATCTCTATCTTATCCGTAATATTTTTTGCTAATTTTTCCCCTACTGATGAGAAATGTTTATTAAGTGACTCTGCTACACTTTTTGGGTCGCTATGAATGATATTATCAAATTCGATTTCTTTTGGTTCTTGATTATTTTTTGTTTTTGTTTTATTATTATATTCATTAATAGTTTCCCATAGTTTTTTGCTATCTTCTGAAAACTGTTCGACTTTATTTTTATAGTATTGATCTTTTAATAATTTCGTTAGATTTGTTACCCTATTCCTATGATTTTTATATTCTCTAAAATCTTCCTCTAATTGGGAGTTTCTGTATATTTTATAAAGTTTATCTCTTTGTTTTATAGATTTTATTAGGCCCTGTGTAATCCACGGTTTTTTCTTTGAAAATTTTACAGCAACTTTTATTTTGCTATTTTCTACACAATTCATTAATGTTCTTGTTATATCGTCTGCTATATTATTTATATTTTCAGAATTATATATATTTTCAAAGTTTTGATTTTTAAAATTTGTTTTTAGCTTTTTGTAATCTATAATCTCTTTTGTTTCCAATTTTTTTTTACATCTGACTCTGTTTATAATGTCACATTCTAAAATCGTAGGATAGTGATCTGATAGCTTAGAGTATAGTACAATAGGTAAGATTTTTTTAACTTCCATGTAGTTAGTCTTTAAAAAAATATGATCGATACATGACTTTGAGTTTTTATGTACCCTAGTATATTTGTTTATTAATGATTTAAATCCATTTTCATAAAAAATATTTAAATAATCGTCATGTTCATCATCTATTTTACTAAGTATGTCGATGTTTATATCTCCTATAACTATCTCATTACTGCTTTTGGCTTTGGTATTTAGAAATGTTTCCAAGTCGCTAATGAATAATTTTATATTAATTGAGTGTGGCCTGTATATAGCTGTAATTGAAGTTGTTTTATTTAAATGCTTAATCGTGATTCTAATACAATCAATTGACGCTATTTTAATAATTTCCGTATGAAATTTATAATCATTTTTACGTAAACAAGAACCCCATCGTTTTGGTTAATAAGTCCCCCATTAAAAAATGCGGTATAGTTAGGTATATTTATTGACTGTATATTAGCAATATTCCAAGTTTCCGTTAAAATTATCAAATCAAAATCATTTTAAAATTTCCATTTAATAACTTTTTTGCTCCCTCAATATTGTCTGCTTCAAATGTTTTAACTTCAAATAAATCAAAATCCCTTATATAATTATTCATATTAAAAATATGTATTTACAATTTTAAATACCCTGTATAATATTGTTTTAATTTATTTTTAGGAAGGTATTGCATCGTCGATAGGCGAACAACCCATCAAAGGATTAGTAAACACGGCAGCCGGAGCTCGAATGACGGTAGCAGAAGCTCTAAGCAATTTAGTTTTTGCCGGTATCACTGAATTGCGAGACGTCAAATGCAGCGGTAACTGGATGTGGGCGGCCAAATTGCCTGGCGAAGGTGCGGCGCTATTCGACGCTTGCAAAGCCATGTGCGATTTGATGTCGCAATTGGGCATCGCTATAGATGGCGGTAAAGACTCTCTTAGTATGGCAGCTAGAGTTGGAAAAGATACCATCAAGGCTCCTGGTACTTTGGTGGTGTCTACGTATGCACCTTGTCCGGATGTTAGAAGAGTTGTTACACCAAGTAAGTACTTAGTTGTGATCAAAGTAATAAAAAAAAAAGGATTTTTATTGGTAATCGTACAACTTTTATATAATTACCAAATGGCCATCGACCGGAGTCATTCAGCCTATTATGTTAAATTTGTTGTATTACGTTACTGTTTGTTTTTAAATATAAATAATTGTTCTCAAAAACAAAAATTGCCAAATTGCTATTAAAATAAAAAAAAATAAATGACATAATTTTATATGAAATGAATGTTCTTAATGTATATTTTTATATTGTTCAATGGGCTCCCAGAGAGTTCTTTGTGGATTTATTCTCTGTTGTATCTCTCGTTTTCTTCTTCTACACATGGTCTGTATTGCTACGATATTTCCTTGGCGTTTGTAGTATTTTTCTGACATGCTGGCGAGTATTCTTTCTATGTGTTGAGTTTTTGTTTTCCCGTATAGCATATCGTTTGACGGATTATGAAGTGGATTTCTCGGGTGTCTCATTTTTGTTATAGCCCTAAACGTTGAGGTTTCTGCGACCTGCAAGTTTTTGATAGATGCATTTCTTGTGTTCATATAAATAGGGTGGCAGTATTCCAGAATGGGTCTACAGATAGTGCGGTATATATGGGAGGCGATTGTTAGAGAGATACCTTGTTTTTTGTATGGCAAACACCTAAAATGCTTTCCTCTAGTAATGCATTTTTATGTTGCTGGTGTGCTGCATGAAGTTCATTTTATTGTCTAACGTAATGCCCAGGTATTTAGCATCATTTGTATAAGCGATTTGTTTATATTCAGTTGTTACTTTCGGTGAGTTCGGGGTAATTTTATGGTGAAATATCATAAACTTACATTTTAGTGGGTTTGATTTTAGACGCTTTCTGCTGAACCATATTTCAATGTAGTTTATGAGATTTTGTAGATTCTCTATCGCTATTTTTAAACTTGCAATTGTGGCTGATCAGTGCTGCATATTACAAGATATATAGTGCATGGTTGAAATATGCTGCATCTTGATTGCAGTTGTATATACCGCTGCAGAATAGATTGTAGAGCAAGGGGGAAAGGGGGGGGGGGCGATCCTTGAGGCAACCCTTGTCGAGGAAAGTTTTTTGTAGAGAAACAATTTTTGATTTTAATCTCAATTGATCTTCCTCCTAAGAAGTCGTTGATCAGGTAGATTATAAATATTGGGCAGTTCATTAAACATAACTTGTACAGTAATCTTTTATGCCACACACTATCAAAGGCTTTATTTATGTCCAAGAACACTGCTGCATTTTTTCTCCACACAGGTTAGATGTTTGTACGTTTGATGTTAGGATTGTGATTGGATGGGTGGTTGACCTTTTTTCTACAAAACCGAATTGGTATTTCGGTATCTTGTTCCCACATTCCTTAATTATTAAATGTTTAATTGTTTTCGAAATTCTATCCAATTACAGGGAGGAGACTTATTGGTCTATAGTTTTCAACTTCCTTATGCTGGGTATTAGGTCTAGGGATGGCTATTACTATTGCATGTTTCCATTCTGGGGAAAGTATTGATGATTTAGGCAGTATTCATATATTTTTAGTATATATAGATGTACATTATAATCTAGTTTCCTTACTATATGATGAATTTAAGTCTTAGGGCCATTCGCACCACTATTCGTTAAGCGATAAGCTGAGGTTAAATTGACATTGAATGACATTTTTATTCGCACCGTCATTTTTCTTTTCGTTAAGTAGTAGTTATTATAAGTTTACCTAAACTGTAAATATTTGAGGTTTAAGATTTTAACGAAAGAAAATTGACAGTATGTGACAGATTTGTCAAATTGATAATTACGTGAAAAGAGCCATTATTTTTTAAAATTTGGTGTCGTGTCCAAATTAAAATGGATTTACTGTTAAGGGATGATGACGATGATAAATTGGAAGCTGTTGAATTAATATTAAATGGAATACCGCGAAGAGTGTATACGAGAAGCTTATATTTTGATAGTTTCGATCCACAGACCTTTTTTCTAAGATTTCGGTTATCAAAAGAGGCTGTTTTGGAATTATTATCGCAAATAGAGAATAATTCGAAATTTCCATATAATATGTTTGTATTAAATCCTACAATATTGGTATACATTTTGTGAGTTTATTCGATTTTTTTTAATGAATCCTATTAAAGAACAAGAAGCACCCTTGAGTAATATATGTAGAAGTACTACTTTGAAAATGATATCAATATTCTTCAAGTTCTTGAACAATTTAGAGACCCTGACCTACCACCCCTACATGATTATGTTGCCATCAACCTCAGAAATGAGTTAATAGATTACTTTGAAGCCCATGATAATAGATTTGTATAATTCTTCAATAAAAATATAATATTTAATATTTTTTATAACTTTTTTTCTTACTAATAACTCTTGAAATAACCAAAAAACCAGTTGTTTAGTAAATATATTTTATGGTAAATACAATAGAAACGGAAAAATCGATAAATAAAGACAAAAAAAATTATTTAGAAATCATTTATAGCAAAAAACCATAAATCTAAATATCTGAAAAGCAATCTTATACGTGGGTCATGATAAAAAAAGAAGAAAATCTCATAGTTGCCAAGTATTTTATTCGTTAAATAAAGCGTTGATTAAAAGCTGTTGGTGCGAACCATCTTATTATAAACTTCACGTTAAATTTATCTAAAGCTTAGTTAACGAATACTTTTATGTGGTACCCGTGCGAATGGCCCATAGTTAATTTTCATGTTGATAGAATTGAGTATATGTATATGCATTTACCATTTGTTGTAAGAACTGAATAGTGTACCGATTTGGTTTATTGATTTGAAGTTTTGGACCAAATTTATATATTTTTTTATACCCATTTAGTTATTTTAGAGGAAGTTTTGAGGCGTATTAGGGAAGCCAATTTGACTGTCAGTTGGGATAAGTGTTATTTTTGTCGTCCACAGCTAAAGTATTTAGGGTATGTTATAGATGGAACTGGACTTCATGTGGATCCTGACAAGGTCAAGGCTATGTTAACGTTACCTATGCCGACGTGTGTAAAAGATGTGCGTGGTGTTATAGGAACTTTCTCGTGGTACCGCAGGTTTATTCCCGATTTTTCTATTTTGATTTCTCCAATTACAGCTCTGTTGCGTAAGGGTAGGAAATTTGTTTGTCCACCAGAGTGTGAAGTGTCGTTTGATAAAATTAGAGATTGTTTGGTAAAGGCCCCTGTGTTAAGTTGTCCTGATTGATATTCCATTCGTAGTTCTAGTGGTTATGGATTTGGTGCTGTCCTCATTCAGATTCATCCAGATAGGGATCGAGTAATTAGTTATTTGAGTGGCTCGTTGACTAATCAGGAACGGGTTTGTTCCACTACAGAGCGTGAACGATTGGCTGTCATATGGGCAGTAGAAAAACTTAGACCGTATTTAGAGTGTCCCATTTACAGTAATTACCGATCATTATTCCCTGGTGTTGTTTCAAAATGTAAAAGGCTCTTGGTCGATTAGCCGGATGGAGTGTCAAACTCCAACAATATGACTATTAAATATACGATGAATATTAAAAATAGATTACCCAGGTTTCAATTTGCACGTAAGTAGACAACACAACATACACATAACACACGCTTGGCTAGCGACACCTGTCAAATAAACATTCTATATACTGTTTTTAAACTAAGAGGAGCGATTTGAATTTAAGTTGGCAATTCTGTAGCTTTCTGATTGGTCAGATTACAGTCAGTTTCACACATTACTTTTTAGCATGAACATCAGCTAATAATTGATATTGTTGACAGTTCTGACATTTTATAATTTGATATCTCATCCATTACTTAGTTTTTTACTTTATTTCGTAAATAATAGTTCTTCAGTAAGCAATTGTATTGAAAATCTACAATTATGGATCCTTCTACACTGAGTACTATTAAAGGTAGCAATTCCTGAAAAGCCTTACAAGAAAGGGAAGACACCTTATTATTTTACATGCTGATTCTGAAGGTTTTGTAGAAAATGCATTATTTGTTTTTGAAGGTAAAAAGATGGGAGATTACCATGAAGAGATCAATTCCGAAGTATTTTAGAAAAAATAATTTTATTACTGATTTTTTAATACTAAAAATTGATGAATTTCTAACCAAAATGATTAAAATGTAACTATTCAAGCAAATTTTATTTATTAGAATAGAATAAAACTATTTATAAAATTGTTATAACATTTATAACACCATCTACTACTTTAGGGATAATCTTAATTTGGCACAATGAGTTAACATTACTTTCACAAAAAATATTTTAAAAATACTTAAAATTAATACATAGGTATGTATGAATAGTTCACTTTAAAAAATATATGTTGACATGTAGTTCCAGTTTTCAAAACAAATTCTGACTCATGGGCCTGTAAACTTTTGAATGCCTTTATTTGCCCTCTAGCGCATTAACCATGGGTTAACACTAAATAAGCCATAATATCCACATTACTCATAGAAGAGATACCAGTTACTGTGTGATCCACTTGTCATTCACTGATTAACTTTTACTTTTTATACCTATAACAAATATATCCTTAAAAATGTAAACAGATCTTTATATTTTATACTAACCTGGCTACATCTAGATATTCCATTAACAATTTTCTTAAATATTTAATATCCATTTTAAAAAGATCATAGTTATTTTCAAAAAGTCGATTTCAAAAGCAAGAAAAAAGTATTTCTGACATCAATTAACAACCATATTGACTTTAATTTGACAGTGACATTTCGTTATATGGTGCGTTTGATTTGATCATCGGAGATCTCCGAGCGCTGCAAACGCGTTTGAATTGACACTCCGAGAGATCCCTAAAGTGTTTGTTTTGCTTTGGAGCGAGAACATAGAGCGAGCTCGATGTTCTCAGAGCAGATGGATCGAGAAGAGGGAGAAATTTGTCTTTGTCTCTACCTATCTCTTTTTAACTAACTTACAATCAAATTTGAATTTTAAAATTAAAGACCAGACAAGAAGTCAACAAATTACTTAGCCGCTTTTGTCTTATAGCTAAAATTATTCGTCATAAAAAACACAAAATGTGTGTTTGGAAAATACATTTTCTCTGTCCAGATCTAATCACCAGTAATCAAAGGCATGGAGTATGAGACCGAAGCGGGCATTTGTGGTATATGCTGCATTTCAGTGCCATTACCCCTTATTATTAAAAGTTTTTTCCATTTTCTTTACTTTTTGCTCACTACTTTGACCTGTGATTTTGACAATCACAAAAAGCGAGGTTATGTTTTTTACTCGGTTTTATTTGATTTGATTCAATGCTCTATTGTGACGTCATCACTTCTCGGTCTCCTCGACGCTCGCTCGATCGAGTTTCAAATCAAACGCCCCTTTAGACACACATTTCAGATCACAATTAGGCATTCCAAACAAATGAATTACCAGTGAGCAAGGTTTGGTATATCTAAGGGTGGCGACATACGGTGTATTCTATCTACTTTATGTAAAATCATGAATAATGGATTACATTTAAATATTTTATGTCAAACACAATAAAAATAATATTTAAAAAACCCACCTATACATTTTTTCATAAATTGGCAGGCTTGCCGAGTACTACTTCGAATAAAAATAGTGTCCAAGTTGCAAGACTATGTCGCTACCCCCTTAAATATACAAGAATTTCCCACTGGCACATATTGTTTGACAGGTCGTTGGAATGCCTAATTATGTAAAATTTAGGGTTGTCTGGGACCAATTAAAAAATTACTTCTATGACATTTATTCGTTTCTTAACCGCTCATTGGCCGTTCACCGACTAAGGCCGACAAAGATAATTATTTCATAAATTTTGAACACGACTATATTTCGAAACTCGCTCTTAGTAACAAATCTAGTTACTTTTCCCTGTGTAAATGCGTCTTTTCAATTCGCTCCTCCTAGTTTAAAAACAGAGTTTAGTAAAAATTGAATTAAGTGATATCGTATGATTGTAAAAAAATCTTGTGTAGTTCGAGCGGAAAGCTATTTATCGCTTACGATAAATTGCCGCTCTCCCCTAGCGCATCGCGCGGTAACTTTTTATCAAGAGATAAAGTATCACTTACCTGTTTAAATACACAAATAGCTATTTCGCACACCAAAATCAAAATTATGCGAGGAATCGTTCATTGAGGCCCAGAAAATGTATTTTATTGCCAAGAGGCCCAGAAAATGTATTTTATTGCCAACCGTCAATAAAGCCATGCATTACCCTAGCGATTTGCGGAAGTAAACAAACACTTTATCTCATTGTAAAAATAATTTTATCTGCCGCTAATATTTATCAACATAACCATGATAGGCTGACATAATTAGTCTGTAACTGATTTGTTATTTTTGTTTGTTTACTCTGTTATAATAAATGATGTTATTATATTTCCTTTTTTATTTATTATAATTATTTATGATTGGCGATAAAAGTTTGTATGGACCACGTCAGCAAAGTGTCTTTATCGAACTTGCATGTTACTCACCTTGCTCGTTTCTCTCGTTCAGCTCATAATCTCTATAGACTAGCTCGGTAAAGAATCACTTTGCTAACTTGGTACATAAATAACTATTATTCATTTGATATAATATAGAACTATGATGATTTTGCCAAAATCATCGAAATCGTAAAAGTGTATAGAAGATTTCAGTGAAATCCCTGAAATCATACGAATTTTTGGTGATTTCTGAAATACGTGTACACTTGGACCTTAGTGATTTGCCCCTCGTTTTAAGTTAATTGCTTTATTTTTATTTCCATAAACTAGATACTATCTGATATTTACTTACAGATTTCAAAGCGCCATCTATGGGCAAACAAGGAATCATTCTTTTTGTCGATCTCTCGCTCGGAGACAGTCGTTTAGGCGGTTCCGCACTTGCACAAACATTCGGTCAACTTGGAGAAGAATCTCCCGATGTACATAACGCCACCGATTTGATTAATGCTTTTAATGCCACCCAGCAGCTAGTCAAAGACGGATCTATATTGGCGGGGCACGACGTAAGCGATGGAGGATTGATCGTGTGCCTTTTGGAGATGTGTTTCGCCGGTATATGCGGTATGGAGGTTGAAGTACAACATAGACAAGGAAAACCGTTGAATATCTTGTTTGCCGAGGAAGTTGGTTGGGTTTTGGAGGTAATCGAAGGAGATGTTGGGCATTGTATGGAGGTGTTCAAGGTAATAATTTATCTCTATTTAAAAATATATGAAAATTATATATCGTTACCTTAATATGAACACTTTCTAACTCAACTTTTTACAGAAAATAATATTGTGCCATCTATTAAGAAAATCCTAAATATGTAAGCTCTTAAAATTACAAACCTCTACTTTGTTGGCATGTCTGTTAAATTTTATGATATGTAAAACTTGTAACCCCACCGAGGCTCCAAACAAACATAAAAACGTGTATCTCCACACTGAGTTTTGTTAAAAAAAAAAAAAATTATTTTCTTTTAAAGTAAATTACCTAATACAAAAGAAAATCTATATATAAACTAGCTATTGCGCGCGGCTTTGCTCGCGACTTTGCTCGCATATAGTCGTGTTATTAATATAAAAAAATACATGACTTTCTTTTTTATTAATTTTTATTAGTTTTATTGATTTTCATTCATTTTTTTAATTTTTTATATTTATTCATTTTTTTTTTATTTTTATTTATTTGTATTCATTTTTATTACTTTTTATTAATTTTTATTTTATTTTTAATAATTTTTATTAATTTTTAATAATTTTTATTAATTTTTATTAATTTTAATTAATTTTTATTTATTTTTATTAATTTTTATTAATTTTTATTAATTTTTATTAATTTTTATTAATTTTTATTAATTTTTATTAATTTTTAATAATTTTTATTAATTTTGATTAATTTTTATTAGTTTTGATTAATTTTTATTATTTTTTATTTATTTTTATTAATTTTCCCCCCGTTTTCCTCCCTTAAAATGTGAAAATCCAAAAACCACGAAACACTTCATTATTTATTTATGATGAGAACCTACAATTCCAATTTTCAAGTTCCTACCTTTGATATTTCCAAATAAACTTTCACCCCCCCGTTCCCCCCTTCTTAACATGTGAAAATCCAAAAACGCTAAAACACAATTATTAATTTGTACTCATTAGCTGCAATTCCAATTTTCATGTTTCTAACTTCATAGAGAACAAAAAAAAATCGATAGTCCCTTACAAACTTTCACCCCCCGTTTTGCCCCCTTAAAATGTAAAAAATCCAAAAACCTTGAAACTTGTCATTATCTATTTATGCTGAGTAGCTGTAATTTAAATTTTCATGATTCTAACTTTAAAGAACAAAGAGTTTCATTAAAAGCTCCCTCCCCCCATTTTCCCCCTTTAAAGTTAAAATTTCCAAAAATCTTTTCTTAGCGAATGCTTACGTTATAAAATAAACCTATGTTCCAAATTTTAGCTTTCTAGGCTCAGTAGTTTTGGCTGTACGCTGATAGGTCAGTCAGTCAGGACAAACAATTTTATATAAATAGATAGACAAAGACAAAATAGAAAAAATACCATTTTCTCTTTTATTTGTTAACCGATTTTATTAGTTTTGTATTGACGAGCTTTAAAAAAAATAGTTTTTTCCCAACCTTTCATAAATGAAATCCAATTATCCACAATTATAAATTATGATTGACTTATAAAATGAGCCTATAGCGAACATGAGCACCCTTTTATTTCGAACAGACATGAAAAATATTACATGGGGGTAGCAAAAAATTGATCGAAAAACATTTGACCGAAAATACATTTTTTCTACACCCGTATTATAATAATGCACTTATATGCCCATAATCCGTTTCATAATGATACCCATTATGATACAGATTTTTCATTACGATACAGATTTTTAATCAATAGAAACCTACAATTTTTCAATCAAGCATGCTGTTTGACGTTTGTCCTAGGTTCCTATGTAATTATTTTAGTTTTCAAAACGTATTAAATTTTCGTAGGTAGCTAAACTTCGATAATTATAATATTAAAATGTCTGATATTAGCGATATAGAAGACTCCTCCACACATATCGGAGAAAGCAGAAAATACAGTACAAAATATTTTACCGCAAAAATCTAGGGAAATACCAATACCTGAAGTAATACCATTAATTACAATTTTGTAGAATTTTTTATAGAAATACGAGTAATTACTGTTATTGTGTTCAATACCAATATAAATATAATATTTATAGGTCTTGATTATTTATCGGGTGTAGAAAAAATAGCGTATGCAACTCTCATGTAATGGTTATTAAAACACTCGCATAAACCATACGAAACTCGCCTTTGGCTCGTTTCGTATCCCGGTTAATGCTCGTGTATTAATAACCATCATTACATGATCGTTGCATAATATACTATTTTTGAATGACATTTGATCGAAAATATATTTTATTGAATTTGACATTTTCAGAGCTAAATGAGTATATTGATAGTCATTGAGATTAAAGCATTGTGATTAATTCGCACAAAATATCAGGTCCAGTTGTCTCCTGATGGGACATTTTAGGTAAATATTTTTTTTTTTAAATAAAACTTAACTAATTTACCTAACTTGTGTTGCCTGGAGACGTCGCGGTTTGCCTCACAAAGAAAATATACAAAAATAAAAAAATAAAAAAAAACTTAAATAAAGCCCCTAACCTGTGCGGCCTAATGTCGTAGAGGGTTGCTTTACAAAAAAATATACAAAAATGAGAAAAATAAAAAAAATTACCAATTTACGTAACCTGTGCGAACTGGAGACATTTAAATTTTATTGGATGCCCTCGCATAGGTTAGGTATATTAAGTTGTTTTTATAAAATAACTCAAATAATTTACCTAACCTGTGCGGCCTGGAGCCGCCAAGGGTTGCTTCGCAAAAAATATACAAAAATGAGAAAATCAAAAAATTTTACCAATTTACTTAACCTGTACCTATACGGCCTGGAGTCATTTAAATGTAACTCATTGCTTTCGTACAGATTAAGAAAATTAGTTAGTTTTTTAATTTGTTTAATTTCTTGTATATTTTTTTGTGGAGCAACCAGCGATGGCTCTAGGCCGCATAGGTTATGTAAATTTGTTGGCTTTTTATTTTTTTTTATTTTATGTGTATTAGGTTTTTCGAACAATTGCTTTTTCGAACAATTGCTTTTTCTATTAATCTAGTTTTGATCAATTTTTTTTTTCGACCATTGTTCTTTTCGAGCATTTTTCTTTTGGATCATTGTTCTTTTCGATCATTTTTCTTCTTTATCATTTTTCTTTTCAATTAATTGTTATTCGATAAAATGTTTTTTTCTATCAAATTCAATCAATCTAATGTTTTCGATCAATGTTGTGCCACCCATTATATCGATGGCATAAAAACAAAAATAAATACTTCCTCTGTCACGCCTAAATTGCAAGAGATAGAAAAAACTGCGTTTTAAATAATGGTTTGTTGCTTACTTAGATAAAAGAGACCAGAGATATAACATACACCGGTTTTAAACCTGCGCAAATGTTGCCAATTTCTAAAGAAGGGTTAACGGAGTGGGGGAACTGGGCGGCGACACGCGGCGACCCGAACTCTGTGACAGGGACCGGACTTTGTTTATTAGCATCTTAATGAACTATTAGGTTTATTTAAAAGGGGTTTAATCGAATTTTGTATTATGAAATCAAATTATCGTGATTTTTTAATATCAAACAGATGCCACGAAATTTTATGTAAAGAGAAGACCTTTTATAGAATATTTCGTTAGCGTTTATTTACTACGGACTTTTCTGCAAGAGATTACAGTAAAATGTTGAAATAGAATATATTGTTAATAGAGCAAAAATGTTACTCATTGTCTACGAGTATTATAAAAATAGCATGTACGCAGGCTAATACTGCAAATCTACCCTTATGAGTTGAACATTATATTTTGTCTACGGCTATTACATATTATTAAAAATTAGTCAAAATGAGAAAATGCTGTTTTGTATTGTAACCTCAGAAAAAGTATATTAAGGCTTCTTTCTTTAAGAATATTAATTATTATAAAGGATGAGTCACATAAAACTCTAGAAATGCATATGTCTGAAACCAGATAACATTTTAAAATTTAAATCTATTAAAAGTCATTTGGTCGCTAGGGATGAGTGATTATCGAAATAAATTATCGATAATTGAAAATAATCGATTATTTTCGATCAATAGATTATTTTCAAACGATATATTTTTTGTCATTTCCTTCAAAATCGACTACTTGATTTTCTTTGAAAAATCAAAAATAATCGATTAATTAAAAAGCCAATTAACCGATAAATCAGTGTTTACAAAATATAATAAAAATAGAATTATCGTTTATTTTAAATAATCGATTATTTTCAAATAAACCATTTTTTTTTCGTCCATGGAAACAGATTATTCGATAATCTTTAAAAAATCAAAAATAATCAATTAATTAAAAAGTCGATTAACTGATAAATCGATTTAAAAAAAAAACAGAATGATCGATTATTTTAAATAATTAATTATTTTCGATCAATCGATTATTATCAATAATCTATTTTTATTGTATTTCCTTTAAAATCGTTAATTCGATTATCTTTGAAATACCGAAAATAATCGATAATTCCAAAATAATCGCCTAATCGAAAATAATCAATTAATTAAGAAGCCGATTCTATGATATATCGATTATGACCAATAATGTATTTTATTGTATTTCAAAAATATTCGATTAATTAAAAAGTCGATTAACTGACAAATCGATTTTCAAAAAAAACAGAATGATCGATTATTTTAAATAATCGATTATTTTCGATCAATCGATTATTATCAATAATCTATTTTTATTGTATTTCCTTTAAAATCGATAATTCGATTATCTTTGAAATATCAAAAATAATCAATAATTCCAAAATAATCGCCTAATCGAAAATAACCAATTAATTAAGAAGCCGATTCTATGATAAATCGATTTTCCAAAAAATAAAACGAATTATCTATTATTTTCTAATAATCCTTTTTTCATATTTCCTTTGAAATTGATTATTCGATTATCGAAAATAATTGATTATTAAAAAGCTGATTATCCAATAAATCGATAATTTTAAAAAAATAACCAAAGTATCGATTATGTAAAATAACCGATTATATTCAATCGATTATTTTCATATAATATCTTTGAAAAATCGA